TTATAGTGTTTCTTCATGTGTATTTCTTATAGACAAATTATTTCTGTGTCCAATTTCATAAGTCTCCTTCATTTAGAAGGAGAATTTAGTTCATTTATATTCATTGAGAGGATCCTGTTTCCTTTCTCCATCTTGCTTAATTATACTTAGGGTTTTGTTTTTTAGTAGTCATTTTCAGTCTTTGTTCTTTCATTAGTCCCTCTTCTTGGTCTATGTTTCCTTTCTCCTTGTCCTTTTCTTCCTTTTGTAACACTGTGTTTTCTGTTTTTTTTTCCTTGTTTTCTTTTAATTTCCTTATCTTCTTGTGTGCCTTGTGTTTTCTCTTCAAAAATGTTTGCATGTCTCTCATAGAACTCCTCTGCTTTGAAGATGGAATCCAATCTACATCTTCTAAAGTTCCAGTTAATTAGGATCCCCTCCGGAGCCAGCCACCTGAAATTTATTCCTTTTTCATTTAGTTTTGTAGTAAAAAATTGATATTGTTTTCTTAAGTCTCTTATCTTCCAAGGGATCTGTTTCAACACCGTTATTTCTTTTCTTCCATACTGGAGTGGTTCTCCCCTCACTCTCTTCAATATTTTATCTCTTATTGTTCTCCTGACAAATCTAACATGGACCTCCCTAGGCACTTTGTGTCTTCTTACATAACTTGAGTTTAATTTGTAAAATGCTGGTTTATTCACGTCTGCTTCCAGACACATGCTGCGATTTGCAAAAATGAACGAAATCAGCACTATGGATCCCTGACGGTGAGGTTTAAATAGCCTGCCCGTTCATTACCTCCATTTCCTCCTTAATACCATACCCTTGTTATTAGTACCACACCCTCCCTCATCAGCATATCGGGCATCAATGTGCTCTGGACCATTCTTCCACAGCAACGTTCATGAACCACCCTACACCCGTCGCACATGACACCTCCACCCCACACCCCGCACACGACTGCCTGCACCCAGTGCCACCATCACCCCATGTGTATGTATATCTTATGTATGTTCCTTGCTGCTGTCATAGCGCGGTAGCATTGTTGAGCGTGCTGCAAGGCTCGACATCTAACATGGACCTCCCTAGGCACTTTGTGTCTTCTTACATAACTTGAGTTTAATTTGTAAATTTGATCAATTTACTCTTCTATTACCGTTTTTTTTATTATTATTATTATTTTCAATGTATCTGCCAAACTATTCTAAAAATATGAGTTGCGAGCTCCGGAATTTAAAATTTTAAAATTTTAAAATAATTAAAATTTCATTTAACTAAGATTTCGTCAGCCATCTGCTGACATCGTCAGAGTATTAAACTACCATTATAGAGATCTCTGCCTTTATGTGCCATTAATCAATTTAGCCCTTGCGTGTGTAATAGATAAGCACTGATAAGCAAGCTAGGAGAGAGGAAACAGTAGGAATTAAGCCTCCATCATCCAGCATGAGGACAGCAAAAACAACACAGCTGATTAAAAGTGGGAGACAGATGGAAGGGCCTATTACACGCGCAAGGGCCAAATTGATTAATTAATTATTTTAAAATTTTAAAATTTTAAGTTCCAGAGCTTGCAGGATGTCTGCTTCTTTCTTTTATAAGTGTGTGTGTGTGTGTGTGTGTTTGTTTGTTTGTTTCTATCAAGACACCTTTTATTATTATTATTTGTTCAACTTGTATGCCGTCTTTCTTTGAAGACTCAAGGTGGCTTACAATGCATTTAAAAACCATATATAAAACATTAAAAGTTAAACCATTAAAAACAATTAAAACCCATTCACACAATTCATGGTCGGATCTCGCCAAATCGCAGCACCTGGTCTACCCCAACATATGGGAGCGGGCATTCTGCTCCCTTTTGCCTTTCAGCTCCAATCCAGGAGCCCTCAAGTAGTTGCATTCACGACAAGCCATTTTATACCAAATTTATATTTTGCTGATAAAGAAATAAAGGAAGACTAGTATAGATCTATTTCAAGCTTTTCAGCTTTCATCAGCTAGCCATACCCTTACTCGGATTTGAACTTGGGCTTCTTGCATGTTAGGCAGTTGAATTAACCTTCTGAGCCACAAGTTCTCCTCCCTTCATCATCTTGAGCCATGGGAAAGATTAAGTGTTTTTCTATCGAGACACCAGATGTACCCCAACATATGGGAGGGGGCATTCTGTTCCCTTTCAACTTTCAGCTCCAATCAGGAGCCCTTAAGCAAACACTCTGCTGCCCATTGGGAGACTAAGGAGACTAAGATAGATCTATTTCAGACTTATAAATCCTCATCAGTTAGCCACACTGTAAAGGTACAGTATTTGTTTTCTTTCCTTTTCATAGGCTTTATGTGTATTTCTCTTTAGCCAGGTTCTTCCTACGTAAACCATGCTGCATAAAAATCTCCCAATAGGCAGCAGAGTGCTTGCTGGCTGCCAGAAAAAAAAGCCTAGAAACTAGTGGATTGTGATTTCTCTGAACTAGGGCTGCATAAAAATCTTGATTTACGTAGGAAGAACCTGGCTAAAGAGAAATACACATAAAGCCTACGAAAAGGAAAGAAAACAAATACTGTACCTTTACAGGGAGGATACATGGGATGAGAGTGTGGCTAACTGATGAGGACTTATAAGTCTGAACTAGATCTATCTTAGTCTCCTTGGTCTCCCAATGGGCAGCAGAGTGTTTGCTGGCTACCAGAAAAAAAAGCCTAGAAACTAGTGGATTGTGATTTCATTGAACTAGGGCTGCATAAAAATCTTGGTTTACGTATGAAGAACCTGGCTAAAGAGAAATACACATAAAGCCTACGAAAAGAAAGAATGTATGTATGTATGTATGTATGTATGTATGTATGTATGTATGTAAAAAGTTAAAACGCAATCAGGCTGCAGCTAGGATAATGAAGCAGGAGAAAAAACTGCTGCCCTCCAATCAGGACACAGAATTGCAGGCCAAACAGCATATGTCAGCAGCAGCGAACATAGAAAAATGACAACTCTGATCTTGCAGCATACTCACAGCTTCTAAACTGAAAGTAGGGGCCCGATGATGACAAGTTTACCTTTAAAGTGCTCCATGGCTTAGGACCTGAGTATTTACGAGACCACCTGCTGCAACCGATAAACTCCCACCAACCAATACGCTTTCACAGAGTAGGCCTACTCATAGTACCATCATTAAAACAATGTTGTCTAGTAGTTCCAAGGGAGAGAGCCTTCTCTGTGGGGGCACCTACTCTTTGGAACAAAATACCCCCTGGAATACGAATAATCCCAGATCTTCGCACTTTCCGACGTGCCCTGAAGACCTTTCTGTTTCAACAAGCAGGGCTAGCATAAACATCTAAATTCTATGCCAAGGTCTTAGCAGATACACCAAGTTGACTCAATTTATTATTGACTGTTTATTTTAAAAAAAATATTATATATATATGAAATATTAATCTGTTCACCGCCCTGACTCCTTCGGGAGAAGGGCGGTATAGAAATTCAATAAATAAATAAATAAGTTAGAGATCTTGTTGAAACGTTGCCAAAAAGAAAACTTTTAAAGTGTTGGTTAGGATTTTAGCCAGAGTTTCAAAAGACCTTACAAAGTGTTTTGTTGGGTTTTTGGAGGATTTTAAACTGGGATTTTAGCCAGGATTTTAAGCATTTCAACTAACAGACTTTTAATGACATGGGAAAACACCCGAGATTTTAACTTTTTACATACACACACCCTACGTAAATCAAGTTGTTTGTATTGCCATAGTTGGGTGATATCTCAAATCACCACTTTCAGGCTTTATCAGACATTTTGTGTTGTCTGCTGTGAGACTTAAGGGAGACTGGGATAGATCTATTTTGGCCTTATAAGGCCTCTTCAGCCAGTCACACCCTTATTTTATGACTCCTCCTGTAAAGGTCAAATATTTATTTTGTTCTTTTATTCGTAGGATTATATGTGCAATACTTTTCTAGTCAGGGTTTTTCCTACATAAATCAAGATGTTTGTATTGCCATAGTTGGTGATATCTCAAATCACCACTTTCAGGTTTTATCAGACATTTTGTGTTGTCTGCTGTGAGACTTAAGGGAGACTGGGATAGATCTATTTTGGCCTTATAAGGCCTCTTCAGCCAGCCACACCCTTATTTTATGACTCCTCCCTGTAAAGGTCAAATATTTATTTTGTTCTTTTATTCGTTCTTTTATTCTTTTATTTGAGATATCAGAAGATGACGAATGCGATTTCGTCGAAACGTCACAACTACACTTTTAAGGATATGTTTACAATTACACGGGAAGAAACCCGAGATATTAACTGTACACACACACACACACACTCACACACACACACACACACACACACATATATATATTAGCTATAGACTTTATAATCTAGCAAATTCCAATAGTCCAATAGCTGAGTCCACCCGAAAAACTAAAGTTTTAAATCCAACTCTCTCCATCAGAGTTACAGTTCAGCTGATGTTTGTAATCCAAAATGCAAGACCTGTGTAATCAACTTGTCTTGTCCAATCAATAAATCCACATCAATAAATCCACATCAATCGATGTTTGTAATCCACAATGGTTTTAAATAGTCCAATCAAAAAATCTCACCCAGTAATAAGTATTTATAAAGTAAGAATAGCATTCAACCTTTATAGCCATATACATCCTAGTATTTCTTATGTATTTATCAGAAGTCATCTGGCTATGTGGCTTTAGCAATTCAACTAATTGCTAATTAATTTTTTTGCTGGTTTTCTTATTTTGCTATCCTATCTTAATATTTTTTCAGTAACCTGATATTTTACCTCTGTCTCTCTGTTGCAATGATGGTTATGTTATTTGTATGATACTGGCCTACAACTAAAATATTTAAAAGTTTCAATATTATCTTTGTTTAAAGAAACATATGTACATTTTTAATATAAGATTTTTTTTTCTTTTCTTTGTCCTTTTCTCTCTTTGTCCCTCTTTGGCTGTCCCTGTTTTTCAGGTTCATTCTTTTCTGAGAAGTGTCAGATTCAACAACAGCGTTGGTGAGAAGATCTCCTTTGATGAAAAGGGAGAATTCATTGGTGGATATGATATTATCAACTGGGTCACATTCCCAAACCAATCCTTTGTTAGGGTCCAAGTTGGGATGGTAGATCCCACAGCTCCAGCCGAGAAGTTCTTCAATATTTCTGTAGATTCCATCACGTGGCCAGTTGGATTTAATCAGGTTAGCAGTTTGAATCTACAGTAGATTGGTCTCCCTTCCTTTATGTAGGATAAAAATATCTTTATTGAGGAAAGTCTTAGAGCATCTTCTCTAAACTAGCAAATATCAATGTTCTCGGGAAACAAAAAAATTATCTGTAAATGTTTACTTTTCTAATAGTTGACATAGAACAGGGTATCAAACTCAAGGCCTACAGGCCAGATCAGGCCTGCAGGGTGCTTAGATATGGCCTGGAGAGCTACCCTGGAAACAATGAAGGACCATCCCGTGGTGCTTCTGCCAGCGAATACAGAGTTTGTGGGGGCTGTGCCTGTTTTTGCCGGCAGAGCGCTGCAAGAGGTTCTCCCAGCTGAAAACGGAGTCTGGGGGGTCGCCCAGGCCACCATAGGTGCCCAAGACACGAGTGACATGGATCTGGCCATGTCTACCTGGACTGGAACCCTGCTCCCCCACCCCCCCCAAAGTAAACACAACCTTGAGGTGGCCTTCAATAAAATTGAGTTTGACACCCCTGGCATAGAATATTGTGCTCATTACTTTGGCCCTTTCTTAACAATGCACGGTTTTGAAGTGAAAGCTACAATCCAGTCTATTAAATGTCATCAGTCTGGTGACTTCAAAATTAAGAAATTGAGAAAAACATCTTTAACCAACACAAAAATTATCTTTGGAAACTGGGGTTGATAGATATAGAAAGCCATTGATATCAATAATTGTAGATATTTAAGGAACTATTATTTCAGACCAATTACATCTCAAAACGATGTGATCACATTTCTTCTCCTCATCAATCCACTTTTTTGCAGTTAATTCCACAGTAACAATATCTCTCCATGCACTTTCTTTTTCCTCTGTATCTTAAAATATTCTTCTTCATTCACTGATAGGCATTACCTCTATCTCTGTGTAATGATCCCTGTGAGACAGGATACAGCAAGGAAAAGATAGAAGGGACATCCTTTTGCTGCTATGGTTGCCGTCTGTGTCCGGAGGGGAAAATATCAAAGGAGATGGGTAGGAAATTTCCAAATCTAATGGACTAAGCCATGAGGGTTCAACACTGTCTATAATCCACGGTATCAATTCCAATCAATGTGTTCTTTTCCAGATGTGGATGACTGCTTTCCATGTCCAGAAGATCAATATCCAAATCCTGAGAAAAATATGTGCATTCCAAAGCGGATCACTTTTTTGGCTTATGAAGAACCCTTGGGGATCACTATGACTGTTCTTTCCCTTTGCTTTTCCTTATTGACAACTTTAGTCATCACAATCTTCATGAAACACAAAGACACTCCCATCGTCAAAGCCAACAACCGGAATCTCACCTACCTTCTCCTAGTTTCCCTTCTCCTCTCTTTCCTTTGTGTCTTTTTATTTCTCGGGAGACCCAATATGATTGTGTGTCTCCTTCGACAGCCATCTTTTGGGGTCATCTTTTCTGTGGCGGTTTCTTGTGTCTTGGCCAAAACCTTTGTGGTGGTTCTCGCATTCATGGCCACCAAACCTGGTTCCAAATTGAGGAAATGGGTGGGGGGAAGAATGGTCAGTTTCATTCTTCTAGCCTGCTCCCTTGTTCAAATGTGTGTTTGTGCTGTGTGGCTGATAACGTCCCCACCGTACCCAGATTTTGATGCACACTCGATATCTGAAGAACTCATCCTGGAGTGCAATGAAGATTCAGTCATGTTCTACTGTGTTTTGGGCTTTATGGGTTTTCTTGCTCTTGTTAGCTTCTCTGCTGCTTTTCTTGCTAGGACGTTACCTGACAGTTTCAATGAAGCCAAATTCATCACCTTCAGCATGTTGGTCTTCTGCAGTGTTTGGCTGTGCTTTATCCCAACCTATCTAAGCACAAGGGGAAAATATACATTAGCTGTGGAGATCTTCTCCATGATCTCCTCCAGTGCTGGATTATTGATGTGCATCTTCCTTCCCAAGTGTTTTATTATTGTGATGAGGCCTGAACTGAATGATAAACATCAGCTCATGAAGAGAAAGTTTTAATAAATATTTACATTCGTCTGATATTCTTTATATGTAGATGTTGCAGATCTTCCCCACTGGCACATTTAAGCCAGAGAACAATGTGCAATATAGAAGATTGGCCTTTTATATTGCCCTGTGTCTGAGATTTAAAATAGATCAGAACTTTTTTTTCCTTCTGGAAGGCAATTATAAATGGGGACCATAAAATCATATGGATTAAAAATAATATCACAAATTGATGTATGGACATAGTTCACATGTGATAGACAGCTCTGACTAAATATATAGATTAAATATGAATTGTAAATTTGTGACTGGTCATCTTAATCCATTTCCACACTAGAATGTGAAAAAGATGTGGAGTTAAATACAAACCATCTTTTCATTTAAAATGTTAGGGTTTATGAATTGTCTCTGAAGCAAGCAAACACTGGCAGTTTTCTAGTGTACATCATGCTGCTTCTTCATTCTTTTGAGCTTTCAATACACCTTTCAATTATCTTTTCCTCACTTCAGGAGTGTCTTTCTGTGTATCCCCTTCTAACTTTTGATCAAAGTGTATTTTACCATTTCTGTTTCAGCTTTTACTTTTCCTTCTTTTTTATCTTTTTGTGTCATTTGTCGTTTTCCCTCCCCTATCCTTTCCTCTATTTTTTCCATTTTCTCCTCTACTTTCTGAATTTCAGGTTTATTGTTCAGTATCTTTTGCTCATAGTTTTCTAGTCTCACAACTACATCATGTATCAATTTTTTTATCTCCTTATGGTTCCTTGTCATCATTTCCTGCATACCTTGGAGCATCAATAATATTTCCTTTAGTAAGACATTTATTTCCCCCTGCTGTCCCATTTTACCTTATTTTAATAAATTTAAATTTTTACTCAGTAATCTGTCAAAATCCAAATGTCCCAGTTATATCACACCAAGATAGCTAATATTACAGCACTTGACACAATCGCTCCTTTAAACACTCCCTTAACAATCTCCACTTTGTTTAAAGACTCCAAACTGTTTCATACTCTTACACTGTCCAGCATGCTTATAATCCTCAAGGTTCTAAAGTTCAATGTTTTCAGTCTGTCTCCAAGCACCAAGTATAATCAGTTTGCAGGTGTTGTTTAGTGTATTCCAGCTAATGTTCCCTAGTCACAACAACTTTCACTTCTTCCACTATTTCCAGCTCTATATTGCCTTCCTCGGCCAGCACTTGTCACTATTAGTCTTTTTCTCCATTTTTGCTGCAAATAAAATGTCTCCAAAAATATTTTCCAATAATTTCCCAAAGTCCTTCAAATCAAGGTGGTAGTAAAAGTATAATCCAGAATTTTGAAACAATTTACATTTCAAAAAACTAACCAATCCAGTCTGTCCTTTATTTTTAAAATTACCTCTGTCTACAATATCTTTTCTTTCTATTCCAAATCTGACAGTAGCTCCAGGTCTTAGTTGCTGCTATTTATCTTCATTGAGTCCCACTTTCCAAAGGGGGTGCTTTAGGGAAAATTCCATGGCAAAAGTTAGAAGAGTTCTTAGCTAGATCGAGCACACTGTTACAGGATCTTTCCTTTCTTCTTTCATTTCAGCTGTCATCACAGCATCGGTTCCACCATAATGGCCGCCTTCTCTTCTGCCGGTTCAAGGGGCTTTCTTCAGGTCAAACGAGGAGACTGTGCTTTCCTCGCAACCAATGAAGCATCCACTCTATCTTTGTCACCCCTACAGGGTGTCCTTCAGCTCTGTAGAGCCTCTGGGCTGAAGTAATCAGCGAGACTTCATGGAGCTTCCGCTAGTCCACACCGCTTCACTGTGACATCGGCTGCCTTCTCCAATAAAGTTATTATTCGATTCTATTCCGTTGTGGTATGGTAGTTTATCTGATGCTTTCTCAGGTCTCTTTGGGAAGTGGTTTTAAATGCTACTTCTAAGGCTGCAAAAACTCTAGTTGATTCACATCATCTCTGTTATCATTTAGTTAAAAGAAAACAGAGTAGAATTGCAAAGAATAAATATTTGTTTGTTTGTTTATTAAATTTGTTTGCCATCCAATGGTTGATTAGTAGAGAACTGACTCACCCTATTCCAGCTTCTTCTTCTTTTTTCTTGAATCAAGTTTTATTGATTCCCCCCCACATTTTCACCCACATATTTTATGAACAGAGTATTGACCATATCATAACTTATACAATTTAACATATTCAAATACATTTTACTCAATTACAATTTTTGCCAAAATTTCCTTTTTCCATTTTTTGATCATGTCTTAAAATTTCTATGCTTATTTGTATAAACAACATCTTTATTCGTCCTCAAATTCTAATTTTTCTGTTTTAACTCATATTTATTCTCTTTTATTTTTTAATAACTCATTCTTTATCCTAGTGCATTTATGCATGTTCGGGGTTGCCTTTCTTCCATTTCATCTTTTATAGTACAGCAATCTTTCTTTTCAATCTCTTCCATCTCCCTCCCTTCTTTCCTTTCTACTTTCTTCTTCCCTCTTCTCCTACTCCTTCTCTACTTCCCCTTCCTTTCTCCCTTTCCTCCTCTCTTTCTCTCTTTCTAATCCTCTCTCCTACTCTTATTTCCCCTCCCTTCCTTCCTCCCCTATTCCAGCTTCTAAAGAGAGCTAAATAAAACTGCATTCTGGCTCCCATTTATTTAATTTTTAGATTAATAATATGGTTTGGGCCCTTAACAAAGCTTAGCTTTTTTCCTCTTTTCTGTGGTTAGCAAACCAATCCCAACTCTGTTATATGCTTACCACGCTATCATTTGTCTGTTTCCCAAAGCAATCTTTGTAAAGTAGCATCCTACTGCATCATCTGCCAATCTGAAACAGTAGAATTCAACCACATGAAAACCAATAAGCATCCACATTTCTGGAAGAATGGATGAAATAAATTAATGGAATGGAATGGAATGGAATGGAATGGAATGGAATGGAATGGAATGGAATGGAATGGAACGGAATGGAACGCAATGCAACGCAACGCAACGCAACGCAATGCAACACAACGCAACGCAATGCAATGCAATTGTCAACTCACAAAGCTCTCCTGACCTGCTCCCAAGTTGCTATAGGCAGGGGGATGGGAAAACCTAACAAGGAGGTTCATCAAACTGGCCAAGCCATGAGTCGCAGCCCCAGTCTTATTTAAAACCTATTTAGAACTGGTAGTAAAAAAAAAATGAATTTCACCACTGCCCAGTCCTATTTAAAGAGAAAAAAGATGGAACTATGAGATTATGTGTAGATTTCAGGGGGGATCAAAAGCATTTGTGTGCACAACCTATACCCCTCCCCCTCATGAAGGACATGCTGTCCCACTTAGCCAAAGGCAAGTTCTTTACTGAGTCCAAATCAGGGAGGGAATGGAAAACAGCCTTCAACTGCCCCCTAGGAAACTTTCAATTTGGTTTTGAGTTTCACGGTTAAGTCATGACAACCAACACATCTTGATTCCATGACAACCAACACATCTTGACAAAAATGGAGGACCTAACATGGAAGGGGGTGAAATTCTCCATCGCCGATTCCTTCTGCACCTCAATCCTCCAGAGAAGCCAGGATGTCAAATTGGCAAGACACTTTGGATTCCTAAAAACTTTACCCTTACTCAGGAGACAATTCTGGTTGCCCGGCATGAAGAAAGTTGTGGACAGTTGTGTAAAAAGCTGCACCACCTGTGCCACTATAAAAAAGAGACCAGGAAACCCCTCTCCAGAATGCTGCACAGATGGCAGAGCCAATGAGGCCATGGGAGGAAATCGCAATTTATAGTAGAATTACCAAAGAGCGGGGGGCACGCAGTGATCTGGACTGTGATTGACCTATTCTCCAAACAGGCCCTGCAGTGGACTACCCTCAGCCCACCAGCTGGCCAAACTCTTCCTGAAGCACATCTACCACCTGCATGGGGTACTGTGCAGAATCATCTCGGACAGAGGGGTCCAGTTCACAGCTAAGTTCTGGAGGGAGTTTTGTGATCCATTGGGTCATCCCAGGGCCTTAGCTTGGCTTTCCATCCAAGTACCAAAGGCGTGGTGGTGAGACATAATGCCATGGTAGAACAATACCTGAAATGCAACAGTCCAATTGGGTGGACCTCCTGCCATTCGCAGAGGTTGCTTACAATAATGCTGTTTCCAGAAGCACAGGATTAATCCCTTTCAAAGTAGTAAGTGGTATGGACTTCGTACCAATGTCAAAATATTCAAAGGAACCCCCCCCCCCTCAGTCAGTTTGACTGATTGGCTGTCAATACTAAAAGCAGCATGGGAAAATGTCAAGAAAGTGCTAGCTAAAGTGGCGCAAACCTACAAGCAACAGGCAGACAAACACTGAGCCCCACAATGGCTGTTACAGCCATTGTACTTCTCCACCAAATACTTAAGGTTGAATCTCCCCAGCAAGAAGCTGGGACCTAAATTCATGGGGCCATTCCCCCATAGTAATCATCCCAGTCATGGTGCAGTTGAAACTGCCCCGACTGCTGGGGAGAATACATCCGGTATTCCACAGCAGCCTCTTAAAACCTGTGGTTGGGTCGACCCTGAGACTACTGCCCTGTGAGTCCCCCAGATCCAGTGGTAATAAAGGGCTAAACCAGTGGTGAAATCTGAACCGATTTACTACCGGTTCACTGGCTGCGCATGCCCGCTGCGCACCAAACATGTGCTGGAGAACCGGTAGTAAAAAAAATGCCTTAAAAGTAAAAAAAAAAAAAAGTTCCGATGATCAGTTGAGCAACGCACGATCTTTTTTTTAACTTTTTAAAGCATTTTTAACTACTGGTTCCAGAGAACCTGTAGTAAAAAAAAAAATGCTTAAAAAGAAAAAAAATGTTCTGACGATTGCGCGTCACTCACCTGAAGGTCAGAACTTTTTTTTTACATTTTTTACTACTGGTTCGGTGAACCAGTAGCCTTTCTTACTACCAGTTCGGGAACCGGTAGCATTTCACCCTGAGCTAAACCCATTATTAGGTGCAATCAATTAAGAGGTTGCTGTTGTGGTTTACCAGCAGCCTGCGGAGCTGGCAGCAGAGTTGGACAGTGATGAGGCTGAGGAAGAACATGGGCCAGTCCTGGAGGCTGGGGAAGGCCCGGAGCAGGGCTCTGCGTCAGAGACAGAGATGGGGCCAGGGCCATCTAGAAGTGATGTGCGGACTCTGGAGCCTCCAGAGTCAGACAGAAAAGAGGCAGAGGAACAGGAAAAACCTGTCTCTAGTGCACGCATGCACAGAGCTTCCAGAATGCAAGAGCAGCTAAAATAAAAAGGACAACTCGTGAGTAAGGCCAGGAGATTATTGGCCCTTCCCATAAGGCTTAAAAGAGTAGCAAAGGCTCTTGGGCTTTTGGTAGGAAAGCAACATTGCTAAATCTGTTTTCCAGTCGGCATCTCTTGTTTCTGAACTTTGTGGGGCTTTGCCAAAAAAGGCCTTTGGCAGGGTACCAAAGAAGATAAAGGTTTGTGATAAGCCCGAAGGACTTTTTCTGAAGGACTTGTTTTGAAATTAATTTGGACTAAGCTGGGAATGAAGTAATACTCAGCTGTTATAATAAAATAGTTTTGTTTGAGACAGTGTCCAGTGAGCCTAGGTCACAACAGTTGCACAGGGGGCAACTCCAATACTTAATCAAGTGGAGGGACTAACCCCTATCAGTGTCGTCCTGGGTAAAGAGCAGAAACATCCAAGCTGATCGCCTCATAGCCAGATTCCATGAAAAGAACCCAAACAAGAATGGGGGGGGGATCACACCCTTGAAAGATACACCTGTACTCAAATTATTTTTGCTTTGCACATGCTGCCTTCTGGAAGGGAGGGAAGTCTAATGTCAAGCTGCTTCTGAGTTGCCATAGGGAGAGGAATGGGAAATACAAATATATGTATACAAATATACAAATATACAAATATGAAAAATAAAATAAATAATAATAAATCACACCTCGCAGCTGCACTAAGGAATATATACCTCAGTCAAAACAAAACACACCCTAGCTGGCCAAAGTCAAGACCATCATCATGGAGACCTGCAACGGCCGGAGGGAGTGACTTCTATGACCCATGAAATTGCTTTGTTGGGGAATGTGATCGGTGACACACCTTGGGGAGAGGAGCAACAGGGTCAGAGGCAAGGCATGAACTGGATGAAGACAGAGCTGGCTTCATTTAGTTCGTGCCAACATGGTGCTCCTAATAAACAACTGGAGTTTTCTTGCTAAATGGCTTGAGGATCCTGCTTTTATTAGGGCATTGGTTGGAACCTTGACAGCAATGCAATGCAATGCAATGCAACGCAACGCAACGCAACGCAACGCAACGCAACGCAACGCAACGCAAAGCAAAGCAAAGCAATGCAATGCAATGCAATGCAATGCAAAGCAATGTAATGCAAAGCAATGGATAGTGGTGAGTAGTGTAGCATAGTGTAATAAAATGGAAGATGATTAGGTTAGGTTAGGTTAGGTTAGGTTAGGTTAGGTTAGGTTAGGTTAGGTTAGGTTAGGGTTAGAGTTAAGGTTAGGCTAGGCAGAACAGAACAGAACAGAACAGAACAGAACAGAACAGAACAGAACAGAATAGAATTGTTGTGATCCAGGCCCAAGTAGGTAGTAATCGATGCAAACAGTTCCAAAACAAACAGACTTTATTAGAACAGCTGAGAATTAACTCATTCTCAGTGTAGTCCAAACTAATTCAAAACAAATTCTTCATAATACAATTCTTCAGCCTTATCACCAACCTTGGTTTAATTAGACAAACTGCCAAAGGCTTATCTTGGCAAAAGTTCAAAAGCAGAAGACGCTGACAAGAGATAAGTGCAGCAAGACTATCGATGT